GCGGTGTGTTTGTCCTCTGAATTTGCGCAGATGGAGTTAGCTGGACAGCTTGGCAAGTGGGCAAAATCAATCAGTAGAGCCCAGGTCTCTCCATCTATAATAGAACTGTTCAGATTTGAAACCATGCAACTCATATCAAGGCCTCTGCCCTCCCTCTCACTAGCTTTAAAGGGAAGGAACATGCTATTTTAGTTTGGTTTGCTGTGTTTGTCCTCTGAATTTGCGCAGATGGAGTTAGCTGGACAGCTTGGCAAGTGGGCAAAATCAATCAGTAGAGCCCAGGTCTCTCCATCTATAATAGAACTGTTCAGATTTGAAACCATGCAACTCATATTTCAAGGCCTCAGAATGGATTTGTTTGCCCCTAACTTGGCAGAATTGTTCCTCCTCTGTGGTGGGAATCAGGAGGAGAGCATTCCTGCTACAGTGGAACTGCAGGTGAGGACATTCCACGGACTGTTTTAAACTGAAGTCACCCTCAAAAGCCAGTATCCCATAGCTGACAGGGGAGCAAAAAGGCAGAGTTTATTAGGAAGTAATGCACTAAGATCAACTTACTGGAGACGTGGTTAATCGAAGGATAGTGCCATTTTTTATTTCATTGCGGTTCTGGAAAAGAAAACAGAAAAGGCCCTGGTAAATTTTCAAGTAGAAGCTTGTGACGAGAGAGAGAGAGAGAGAGAGAGAGAGAAATATATATATATAATCTAGTATTTTACACAATACACATTTTTATGATTCACTTAAATAATTTTTAAGTATTTCTACAAATAATTTTAACTTTGGTCTCAGTTGTGTTCCTTTTAACTCCCAGACACAGTCAGTGCAGTAGCAGCATACATAAACCCAAACATATGGGGCCCAAGAACAGCAAACAAAAAAGTAATCATAGTGGCATGCAGCTGTAACCCCAGCACGTTGGGAAGCTGAGGAAGGAGAATCATAACTTTGAGCCCAGCCCGGGCAACTTAACTACTTAGAAAGACACTCTCAAAAATAAATAAATAATAAATAAATAAATAAAGGCAGCCCTGAACTCACAGTGATCTTCCTGCCTACAACTCTGGGATTACAGGCATGTGCCACTATACCTGGCTTTTTTTTTTTTTTTTTTTTACACAGCCTCTTACTATGTAGTCCCTTCTGTCTTTGAACTCACTATGTAGCCCCAACTGGAATGAATTCAAGATCTCAGGAAACTGCCTCAGTTTCCTAAGTGTTAGGATTACAGGTAAAAGTCATTATGCCCAGTACATTTTAAAACAATATTTACATGGAGAAATGGTGGAATGGCAAGACAACAACTCGGTCTCTCAGAGATTTGGAATCTAGACACCGAAAAATAGCAACCTAGGAAAGAAAAAAGACGAAGATCCCCAGAAACCAGGAATGATCTGACAGAAAAATTAAAACCTATAGAGAAATTGAAGAGACAGAATACCATGCAGAGAAGGGAAGGAATAGTCTGCATTTTTCCCCCAGCTCCTAACTCATGGCTTGCAGGAAAAGTGGACCAAATCTACAGAAATAAAATGAAAGCTAGGGATTCCAGAGGGCTTCAAGGAGAAATGCTTCTTTAGAACAGACCGGCAGGGACTGTGATCTGCACGAAGAGGGTGAGAATCTGCTCCCACGTGAGTCCTTCCCCCGGAAAGATGTGGTGAGTGACTCCAATCCACGTGTCCACCATATCCATGAAGAGAGTGGTTGGTTGGTTGCCATTCAGGGAAGAGATGATTGTTTGAACCTGAGACTCAGTGAAAATAGTACAGCTTCACTTCAGGAATCCCAGTATTATGGTCCCATAGTGACTGGGTAAGAGATGGCCACAAAACATAGCTGCAGTCGGGAAGCAGGCTGGAAAGAAACCTCCTGAGGGCTTTGAGCTAAAAGACAGAGGTCTTTCCCCCACAGCCAGTGGCCAGACTCAGCTTCAGTTGCTTATCTGAAAATTGTAGTATTGGTGCCTTTATCCTAATGCTGGTACCTGCATCTAGCAAAGATCCGGTATCTGACTGCTTTCTGCATCTACCAGCATGAGCAGGTTTCTTTTCTTTTCTTTTTGCTGAGGGGGTGAGCATGTATGTTTTTGTTTCATTTTATTTTTATACTTCTTTCTCTTCCTCCTTTCTTCTTCACCAGTTTATTGCGGTTTAGTGAAATTTCATTTGTCCTTCCTTGCTTCTTATCTCTTTTTCTTATTTTTTTCTTTAGCTTTTCTCTTCTCCCTCTTAATTTTTTCTTGAATTTTTTCTCTTATTTTTACTCCCCACATAAATTCTTCTTTTTCCTGATTTTTATTTTATCTCGTATTAGTTTTTTGCTTATCTTTATCTAATTCTATAAATATCCTTCAACTCTTCAATAGGCTCCTTTGCACCACTTCTCTGTCCTCCTTCTCATATCAAATAGTTTAAGGTTTCAAAAATTTTTTCTTGCATTTCGCTATTCTCAACCCTTTGTATCTTTACAGTGTGACCATAAGGCTTTATTGATCTTTAGGTAGTTAACTCCATAATATTAGTGTCAAATTCTTTTCTACCATCAGCAGAGATATTGCTGCCGCATTTAGTACATATTAGTTCTAAGTCAATACCTGGTTGTCTTTATGTTTACACCATGATTGTGGATTCCTTCTCTAGGGTTAACGGTGGTATATAATTGGTTCTTATGATATGTTAATATCCAGTTTATCTTGGATGATACTATTGTAGCTGAAAGGCTTGATATTACCAGGGCTGCATAATTTTTGTTATTTCTCTGTAAGCCAACACTCGGGTTATATTTGTGACATTAGCAATACCAGAATACATCCCAAACAGAAATCCAGGGACAATTAAACTGCATTCTATATTCCCATATTAACCAAGGTGGTTGGATCTTGGAGCTGAGGCACAGGACTATAATTACTCAAGTCCAAAAGTGACTGACTAAAGAGAGCTTTTTTACAAGCAACTAAGACTTTACACTATAATTGTTGACAAAACTCAGTGCAAAATGAAACAAAAGCAATAAAAACATGAGAAGACAAAGCAGCAAAATCACTCTCCAAACTCCCAACTCCCCAGAGGACAATGCAGTGGACACTGAGAACAGCACAAGCCATACACCCAAATTACTTGAAAGCATAACAGAGGTTAGAAAATAAAGAGGAACTCAGTGAGACCACAGAAGACATAACTACACAGATAATGGAGGTAATAACCCAAATGAAGACACTACTAAAAAGCTAGCTGAGCTAAGCAACATAATGCAAAACATAAATGACCAACTTAGCAAAGAATTAGAGCCTGTAACAAGGATTTGATCCAAAATCTAGGAAATTAAAAATTATATTGAAAATATGAGTACCAGAAGCAAACAATGGGAGGACAAAATTTCAGAACTAGAAGACAACGATTTCTTTAAATACCAACTATTGAAAGACACCTTAAAAGCAACAAGGTAACATGAAGAAATTGGAGGCAAGAGCTACCAAATGACACTAAGACAACTAATCTAAGAGTAATTGGAATAAGTAAAAAATCAAAAGACAATACAAGCATAAAAAAACCTGTTCACAGAAATAATGGAAAAAAACTTACCAAATATAAGGAAAGAAATAAACATACAGATAAGTGCAGCACATAGAACCCCCAGTAGCCACAGCCAAGAGAATCTCTCTATGCCACTTTATACTCAAGGTACCAGAAGTCTATCACAGAAACATAATCTTAAAAGCTGTTAGAGAAATGCAATGAGTCACATACAGACATAAAACCTATCAGACTTACAGCACTTTAACATGTTCATGCTGTCTTTAACAGTTCACTTTAACATGTTCATGCTGGCTTGAACCAATGGTAGTACAGGAATGACTGTCCAATTCAGCTGCATATACTACCCAATGATACTGTACCATACTACCTGATAGGACAGTCATGCATGCAACACTGGTGGTTTACAGATGACTGGTAGTAAGATATATAAATTATAGCCCCATCACGAGCATGTTAAATGGCAGGAGAGCTTGGAATGAAACATTTCAAGCCTTGAAAGATAACTTTAAACCTCAATTTATTCATCTTGCTCAATTTTCCTTCAAAATTGACAGAAATAAGATATTTCCGTGACAAAGAGCACCTTAAGAAATTCATGCCCACCAAAACAGCATTACAAAAAAAAAAAAAATTCTCAAGGTTATCGTAGAAAGAGACAATGAACCCAACCATGCAAATAAGTTTAAAAAAAAAAAAGAATGAATATACTTGGCAGGAAGAGGAGGAAGAGGAAGAAGAAGAAAAGAAGCAACAGGAAAATAATCCAATGATAAGAAAAGTCAATACCTTTCAGCAATAACTCTCAATGTGAATGGTTTCAATTCCCCAATCAAAAATTGGTAGAATGGCTCAAGAAACAAAATCCAACAATAAAGAGTATACAAAAAACACATTTAATTTAAAAGAAAATTCACAAATTAAAAATCAAAGAATGAAAAACAATATCCCATTGAAAGGATACTCAGAAAAAAAACAAAACAAAGTAGCTATACTAATTTCAGACAAGAGTTTCAAGTCAGGGCTGGGGATTTAGCTCAGCGGTTCAGTGGCCTGCCTTGCAAGCGCAAGGACCCAAGTTCAATCCCTGGTATCAAAAAAAAAAGAGTTTCAAGTCAAAACTGATCATGCGAGACAAATAAAGTCACCATAGTTGGTTAAGGGAACAATTCAACAGGAAAAATTACAATTATAAACATACACATAACAAATATTAGCATGCCCAACTTTACAAAACTAACATTAATGGACATGATAAATACCAATATAATTGTAATGGGGAACCAACCCACTGTCACAAATTGACAGATTAACTACACAAAAATATCAAGCAAGAAATATCAGAGTTCAACCAAATTTTCAAACAAATGGACTTAATAGATATCTTACCGAGTGTTCCATCCAACAACAATAGAATACACACTCTTCTCATCAGTACATGGGACTTTCTCCAAAATAGAACACATATTAGCCATAAAGCATGCATAAGTAAATGTAAAAGAATCAACATTATCCCATGCATATTATCAAATCATAATACAATGAGGCTAGAAATCAATGACAGAAGAAGCCACAGAAACCATGCAAACACATGGAAATTAAGCAATACCCTCTTGAATAATCAATGGGTAACAGATGAAACTAAGGAAAAATTACTTCCTACAATCAAATGTAATGCCAGTATGAAAGCAGTCCTAAGATGTAAATTTATAGCAGTGAATTTCCACATCAGAAAAACAGCAAGCTCAAATAAATACCTAATTATGCATCTCAAGGGCCAAGAAAAACAAGAACAACCCCAATACAAATTTTTACAAGGAAGAAAATTATAAATGTCAGAGAAATTAATGAAGTTGAGCCAAAAAATACAAAAAAACCTCCAATGAATCAGAGTTGTTTCTTTGAAAAAAATAAACAAAATTGACAAGTCCTAGCCAACCTACCAAAAAAGTAAAGACCTAGAATGACACAACTAGAAATGAAAAAGGTGAAATCACAACTGATGCTACCAATATCCAGAAGATCATTAATAACTACTTTCAGAACCTCTACTCTAATAAAATGAAAAATTCA